CAACCCAGGTCCGTCAAACAACAATGACGGCTGCAACCAAAAAATAGCCTGGCGTTGTGGTGGGCGCCTGTGGTCCCAGCTACTTGGGAGGCTAAGGCAGGAGACTCGCTTGAGCCCAGGAGTTGGAGCTTGCTGTGAGCTGTGATGCCACAGCACTCTACCCAGGGGGGAGAGCTTGAGGCTCTGTCTCAAAAAAATAAATAAAAATCTTAAAAAAAAAAATTGCCATAGTGATCCTCTCCAATGTATCTTGTAGTTGAGATCAGAGAACTATCAGAAACAGAGTTCTTTGGTCAGCTGATCTGGCAAGCATCCAACATATTTGTGTTCAAGATGTCTTCTAGGAGACACCTTAAACACAAACACACCCAATGTGGGTCTCTTCAGCAGTATGAATCAGAAACAGAAAAAAAATTATTGAGCAAATAAATATCTTTTATTAGCTACTTTATCACCATGTTTCTCAAAAAAACTGCAGTCATTAATAGGCTGTGAAGTCAACCAGATGGATCATGGTCATAATTTTAACAAAATAGTATCAGAGTACACAACATATAGCAAGAATACTGTTTGTGAAACTTTCGTAGGAAGAGGCAAAAATGTTTGTGAATGCTGTTCTTAACATACCTTTTTACACAAGACTAGCCAGAGGGAGCTACACTACAACAAATCAATCACTTTATTCAAATTTGCCAAGTAATCTATAAAGGCTATAAAGATTACCAAAGAAAGCAACAACGTCCAGTTTTCTTCACTTGACCCATATTATTCCAAAATAGTTATCAAAAAACGCCCACAGAAGAGGCCAAATGGAAAATACCACACAAACCAATGCAAAATGAAATAATGTGACTACAAGCCATTATATTAATTTATAAAATAGAACATAAAATCCAGATTTCCACCTTAGCAACAACCAGCTAGCTGTTGGTGCTATGAATATGCGTTTTCACTATACTGAGAAATTACAAGAGATCAACCTCCTAAATCCCTATACATGCTGACAAAAAGAGCAAAAGTCATAAGGATTAAAATTAAGTCATGAAGTCGGTGAACTGCCAAGAACTCAGCTATTTAATTCCTACAGAAAAATTAGGTGCCAAGGTAGTCAATCAGGACACTGAGCCAAACTAAAAGTAATAAGCCTTTACTCACTTACTGCAACAGTGCAAAGAAGCAGCAAAAAGAGGCACTGGTTCTTTTGGGAATCACAGTCCTTCCTCTAAACAGAAGGACACGAGGTGAGGGTCAGGTGGATGCAGTCAGTGCTATGAAGAAAATCCCCTCGTCGCAGAGGGACACCCAACAAAAGGCTCCTAACACTATGACCCTTAGAATGGGTGAGGAAGGGGTAAGGTATAGGAGTGGAAAGGACCTGAGTCAAAAATAAAGAAAAAAGTGCCTCAAGGTCTGTGATAGGAGGGCCTCCAAGAAAGAAGTTATAGTATGAGCATGGCAAGCAGGAAAGGGTGAGTCTCTGACTGCAACTTCCTCCAGAAAACTGCAGTGCACTGGCCATGTACCAAGTCTGGTGTGCCAGAGCAGCTTCCCCCATGAGGGCAGCCAAGCAAAGTCTACTAAACTATTTAAGATCAGGATTGAAAATGATCACACAGTAGGATCTGGAGCCTGACTCCTCAATTTTTTTGGTATACTTCTCCTTCCCTTTAATAAATGTTTTTGTATAAGATGCCTAAAAAAGAACCACACTAGAACCACACCAGACAACTACCTCTGATTATAACAGGGATTTGGCCAGGTATGGTGGCTCCCCTGTAATCCTAGCACTTTGGTAGGCTGAAGTGGGAGGATAACTAGAGCTCAGCAATTTGAGACCAGCCTAAGCAAGAGTGAAACCCTGTCGCTACCAAATTAAAACAAACAAACAAACAAACAACAACAACAACAAAAACCCAGAAAAATTACCAGGGCGTGGTGGCTTGTGCTTGGCCCAGCTACTCAGGAGGCACGATGATCCCTTGAGCCTAGGAGTTTGAAATTGCAGTGAGGTATGACCGTGCCACTACACTCTAGCCTGGACAACCACAACCAGCTGAGACTCTTGTCTCAACAAACAAGACAAAACAAAACACGCTAGCGCGCACACACACACACAGACGCAACCACAAAACAAGGACTGGCTTTCTACCTTTCCCGTGCAAAAACCAGACTGTGGCTGATCAACCATCACTAGCACTAAGACTCGATACTATTGTCACTTGCCTTCCACCGGGTGGGAAAGGACTTACTGGGAGCCCTATGTTGTTAAAAGCACTGGTGCAAGTGGTGATCTCATCTCCTATTTCTAAGTGTCAGGTTAGGGATCCTCGCCTTCCCAAGTGTGGTCTCGCACGTACTTGCATACACGAGTGCACACAGAGCTCGAAAGCCCATTTCAACTGTCTGCTCTCACACTGACCATTTTCGTCGATAACTTTAAAAAAAAAAAAAAACCCCAACACCTCACGATTGTGTAATATTTTTATGTTAAACTGAAATTAAAAATAAAAGTAGATCCGCCCAATGGTTCAATCCGGAAGTTACCTTGACAAGAGCAAGACACATTCCGCTGGAAGACTGCATAAACTGACCTCATTGAAATCTAATGCTGCCTCAATACTGAAAGCCTATTAATTTTATGGTCTTAAATAATACCATTAAAACGAAGTGAGGGTATCACCGAAATAAATGTGGGAAATGAGAGACGTGAGAAAAACACAGGCAACTTTCGGTTGGGGAATAATCTCAGCTGGCATTCGTCACAGCCTTTTCTCTTCCTAACTTCTGCCCCACTCCCCCCGGCCCACACTCTTGGCCTTGAACACTCATCTCTCCCTCCCAGTGCAACTACACTGGACAAAGGGCACTGACATCTAGTCCTCACCCCAACTGCCCGCAACCAATAAATATTTAGTGGTCGAGCCGAATCCACAGATTGCAAAATCCCACCCCACGAAAGGATGAGAAAAGGGGAAAATTGGTTTGGCCGCAGCCGAGAAAAAAAAAAAAATGCCGTATGTGATACGACCCTCAGTAAGGAAAAAAGCCTCCCTTCGGCGCGTTCCTTAGAGATTCCTGCTGCCGGTCAAACACACTCAAGAGCCAAGAAGTGTGAAAGGAAAAGGAGCTCAGTAGCTGAGGTCGGAGAGCCCCCGTTCGGGGTCCCGGTGTCCTTGGCGGCATCTAGGCAGGCCCCGACCCTCCCCAGGGGTCACTCCACCGCACACATAGGTTTTTGAAGCCCTTTTTACGCACCTGGAGCTAGGAAAGGCCTGGGAACTGCGCATCTCAAGGCCCAGACACCGCGAAAGGAGCCAGCACACGTCCGCAAGGCCGGCGCGGCGACGTGCTGAGCGCGCAGGCGCGGCGCGCGGGAGCTCCCGGAGACGCAGTCCGGCTGGAAACAGGCTCCTCACCCATATCAGGGCCGTTGCGGTCTCCTCTTGGCCCGCGGGTCCCAGGGGCGGAGACCCTAGAGGCGTGCCCCACCCCCACCCCGAACCCTACGCCAAACATCCGGCAATTGCAGGGGAAAAGAGAATAGAGAAATGGAGACGCTTGCATTTTCCATTTCACACCTAAACTTCCCTTAGAGAGACCCTGTAGCCTGAACCAGAGGGTTCAAAGCCAGACTGGAAACTAGCGAGTTTGTTTAAACCCCACTGGGCATTCCTGTCTAATGTAGAGGGCCGTGCCGGGACTGTACTCAGCGTTTTGTGCATTGCCAAGGTAGATACAGTGTAAAAGTCAGCGTCATGGGCTTTGTGCTCAGACTTGACCCGGCTTCAGTCCGAGTTCTTCAAGTGGCCTGCCAGCTGCGGACCATGGTAACTAATCTCTCTCTGCCTCATTCATTCGATTTATGTGGGTTGTCTACGATTTACAAAACTTTGTGCTTAGTGTCTTAAATTTCTTCAGACTGTTCTGACAATAAAATGCATGTGACGTGTTCAACCAGTTTCTAGTGGAGTAGGCCTTTAAGAGCTATTATCAGTATTAACATTTGTATGTCAAATACAATTACTTTATGAGGTGATAGGGTCCCCTTTTAATATGAAGCAAACAAGACTCAGAGACGTTAAAGAACTTATTGTCGCACAGATGATAAATGATAGTGGTGGAGTTTGAACACGGTGTAATAACCAGACCTAAAAGGTTATAAATAAATAAATAAATAAACTTTTAGGTCTGGTTATTACACCAAACTGCTTCCCACATTATATACATTTCAACATTTTGTGTAGATACAATTTAGGGCCAAATGTACAGTTACAGACTAACGTGGCACATTGTTACTGAATAAGTATCTGCCACTGCTAGGGTGCCTACTAACGATTTTAACTATAAGGCATTGGAAATTTATTGTGGATTTTTGCAGGTTCTGAAGGTAATTGTCTCACGTTGAGAGATGAGGAAATAAGAGCAATCTGGGCCAGGTGGCTCAACCTCTAATCCTAGCACTCTGGGAGGCAGAGGTGAGTGGATTGCCTGAGTTTATGGGGTTAAAGACCAGGACCAGCCTGAGCAAGAGTGAGACACTAGTCTTCAAAAATAGCTGTCCTTGTGGCAGGCTCCTATAGTCCCACCTACTTGGGAGGCTGAGGCAACTTTTTGCATTGCTTTCCAAGGATCGTTGATAACAAAAATCAACACTGTCTAATGTTACTCTATTTTCCTCTACCAAAAAGGTGAAGCAGCTGGGCGCAGTGGCTCATGCCTGAAATCCTCACACTCTGGGAGGCCTAGGCGGGTAGAGTGCCTGGGCTCACAAGTTTCAGAACAGCCTGAGCCAGAGCAAGACCTCATCTCTAAAAATAACCTGGCATCGTAGCAGGTGCCTGTAGTCCCAGCTATTCAGGAGGCTGGGCAAGGGGATAGCTTGAGCCCAAGAGTTTGAGGTTGCTGTGAGCTGTGACACCATGGAACTCTACCCAGGGCTACAAAGTGAGACTGTGTCTCAAATAAATAAATAAATAAATACATAATTCCATTCTGCAGCTTTTCCTGAGGAGCTCAGTTCAACCAAAGCATGCAAACAATTGCATCCATCACCAACTGCATAATCCTTAGATCATGAAAGAACACTACCTGAAATGGGGGACTAATGGAGGGTAGTATTGGTTCTTTGTCCATTATCTGCAAAACAAACAGGCATTTGCACCAATAGCCTGAATATGGAGTATAAAATGCAGTTAGGATTTGGATAAGCTATTCCTCAAAGCCATATACTCCAGTTCATAACCTCTCCTATTTCCCCTGAGAATTATCTCAGAGAACTTTGGGGAAAAAGGGAAAAATTAATGTGAATAAGAGTCATCAAGATGTGAAGATTTGAATTGGTAAGATTTGAACTAGTACTTAGTAGTGGGTAAAATATGGATAAATAGAAAATGTGGGGGCAAGACAGAACATGGTAAGCAGATGCTGTAAGATGGAAAAAAAAAAGAGTGTGACAAGGAATAATAAAGGGGCACATAACATGTTTGGTTTAGGTCTTACCTCTGCAAGTTCCTAGTTGTATCCTTAGAAGTTATCTACCTGCTGGGCCGACAAGGTGGTTCACGCCTGTACTCCTAGCACTCTGGGAGGCTGAGGCAGGTAGATTGCTTGACCTTAAGAGTTGGAGACTAGCCTGAGCAAGAGCAAGACCCCATCTCTACTAAAAATAGAAAAACTAGCCAGCCATTGTGCTGGGGTGCCTTTAGTCCCAGCTACTTGGGAGGCTAAGGCAAGAGGATCACTTGCACCCAAGAGTTTTAAGGTTTCTGTGAGCTATTATGCTGTGGCACTCTAGACTGGGACAACAGAGTGAGACTCTGTCCCCTCCTCCAAAAGGGAAGAAGTTATGTAATCTTTTTGAACCTCAGATTCCTCCTCTAGTAAAATGGGGTCATAGTCATTCTTGTGTTCAATGATATATCATGTTCCAATCACCAAGAATTCATTACTGTGTATGTAAAGATGAAGGAGCGAGGCCTTGGATCTTAAATTAATTAGCTCAGTGGCAAGAACATACAGACAAACAAGTACAGTATGATAAGAGAATGTACATACAGGAAGGAGGAACATCTAAATCTGCCGGGGGGCTTCAGGTGGAGATGGATCCTCAATCTGCTGTCCATCCATTTATCCTATATATTAAGCACACTTGCTGTGTGCCACGTCCCATTCTAGGCACAGTGATTAGAGTAGCAGATAAATTTCATTCAAAAGTCCCTGTCTTTTTTTTTTTTTTTTTGGAGAGAGTCTCACTTTTGTCACCCTCAGTAGAGTGCTGTAGTGTCACAGCTCACAGCAACCTCAAACTCTTGGGCTTAAGCAAGTCTCTTGCCTCAGCCTCCTAAATAGCTGGGACTATAGGTGTCTGCCACAACACCCAGCTAGTTTTTAGAGATAGGGTCTCACTCTGGCTCAAGCTGGTCTCTAACTCCTGAGGTCAGGCAATCCACCTACCTTGGCCTCCATTAGAGGCAAGATCCAATGGACCTGGCCTAAAGGCAGAAATTTCAAACTGAGTTTTAATGCTGTTAAAGACATTTCTTGCCCTCAAATGACAGGCTGGCTGAGAGCTCACTTCTCCTGGTTCCATCCCTTCTCCTTTATCTTTCATTTTTCCTCTGACTGTGGAGCAAACAAAACCATTCACTTGCCTGGAGCAGATAGTACACCAAAATCTTCACTTTTTTTTTAGAGACAGAGTCTTACTTTGTCCTCTTGGTAGAGTGCTGTAGCGTCACAGCTCACAGCAACCTCCAGCTCTTGGGCTTAAGCGATTCTCTTGCCTCAGTCTCCCAAGTAGCTGGGACTACAGGCACCTGCTACAATGCCCGGCTATTTTTTTGTTGCAGTTTGGCCAGGGCTGTGTTTGAACCCACCACCATTGGTATATGGGGCTGGTGCCCTACCCACTGAGCCACAGGCACTGCCCCAAATCTGCACCCAAGCAATTATGGAAGAATTTCTCCCATGGACATACCTTCCTTTCTAAGAGGATTTTTGGTGAGTAAAACTCTCTCCTTCCTATCATATACTGTACTTCACTGGAGAGAAATATTTTTGGCTTTTGTGTATCACCACACAGTTTCTAAAATCATCATGGCATGGAGGTGGGAGAGATGAGAGGAGTGAGGGTGTGGGAAATGAGTCAAAACCACTGTACAGCTGTACTGTTTCACTTAGGGCAACTAGAACACCTCAACTCCATTCTGCTAAAGGATTACTGGAGGGCGGGTTGAAACTGCAACAAAAAAACTAGCCGGGCATTGTGGCGGGCACCTGTAGTCCCAGCTACTTGGGAGGCTGAGGCAAGAGAATCGCCTAAGGCCAGGAGTTGGAGGTTGCTGTGAGCTGTGTGACAACATGGCACTCTACCAAGGGTGACAAAGTGAGACTCTGTCTCTACAAAAATAAATAAATAAATATAATATAAAGGATTACTGGAAATCTCCAAAGCTAGGTTGGTGATACCTTTTGGATTCCTGGCTCTAGTTAGGTAATTGCATTGTCCCACCCTACCACAATCCCAGTGTGTTGATTCAAATTCAGTAGCACTAGGCCTGAGTCAGTGGCTCAAGCCTGTAATCCTAGTACTCTGTGAGGCCTAGGCAGGTGGATCGCCTGAGCACAGGGATTAGAGACCAGCCTGAACCAGAGAGAGACCCATCTCTACTAAAAATAGAACAACTAGCAGGGCATTTTGGCAGGCGCCTATAGTCCCAGCTACTCGGGAAGCTGAGGCAAGAGGGTTGATTGCTCAAGCCCAGGAGTTTGAGGTTGCAGTGGGCTATGATGCCATGGCATCTAGTGAGGGCAACCAAGTGAGACTGTCTCAGAAAAACAAAAACAAAAAAACAAATTTGATCGCACTGGGTGGGGGCGGGAGTTACTTAGAAAGCAAACAGGATTCCCAGCATAAGAATTTGACCCAGGCTTGTTCACCCTACAGTCATTAACAACCTCTTTTTTTTTTTTCCCCATGGAACAGCCCTCTAACTCTGTAAACCAGAGTCAAGGTTGGCCAGAGGAAGGGAGGAACCCTATTATCTACCAAGTTTTTTGATTATGGGATCTGGTGAGCTTGACATTGTGACCTCCTGTTTCTGGATCTTAATTTCTAGAGGATGGTGATAGAGTTCGTCTTGTAATAACAGTCTACCAAAAAATACCCTTCCTCACAAGAGCCAAGAGAGATCCAGGCATTCCCTTCTCAGGCCCCATTCCCAAGTAGTCCTGTGGGTTTTCAATCTGTCTCTGGCGGCTGCTATATTCCAGGGGTAAATGTTAGTTGTTATAGATTACGGTTTCTTTTAAGGTCCCA